TTTTTACAGTACATGGGAGAAGAAGGTATTGCCTTACCTTCTATGATACGGTTTTATGAGATTCTGGATACAGCTTTTGGAGACCCCGATCGAATGCGTACAGCTAGAAGAAATCTTCGGAACATCAGACAACGCACTCGAACCTTTGCCGATTATTTTGCTGAGTTTCAACGGTATGCTGCTGAGTCGGGTATGGATGAAGTCTCTCGGATTGAGGCTTTGATGGAAGGAATTAATGGGGAACTGGACGAATCGATGATACACCATGAGACTCCTGCAACGGTAGATGGTTGTGCAACACTCTTGCAACGGTTGGATAACCGACGACGGGCGGCGGAAGCTAAGCGAGGTAGTAAAAAATCTTGGACTACTACTACGACCCCAGCTCCGCGCCCTCCACCAACAAATCCTGTTCCTGCTCCCCGTCCCGCTGCCCCTGCTGCCAACCCACCTGCCACTGAGAATCACCCCTCGTTCCGTCCTGGAGGTGATGTACCCATGGATCTGTCTGGAGGACGTCGTCGCCCTACCCCTGCCGAAAGAAATGCCCGCTTAGCTGAGGGCCGATGTTTCTATTGCGGAGGTGTCGGGCACATGGTTAGGGATTGCCCCCAAGCGAGGGCAACTGGAAATCAACCAAGGAGACCTGTTATGAGAGGAGCAGCATTGACGGTGGAAGAAAATGCTGGAAGCGATAATGAGTCGGCAAAAGATTTGTCCCTGCACTAAGTGGCTTAGCCCAGGGACCATTTAAGGATTTTTCTAGGATGCATATTTCTGGTTTTTCGGTATCAGAGGAGGAAATGGATGGAAATCAACTTGTAGTAACTTGTTCGATTTCACAAAATAAAAGTTTTTTCGTACCTACCTACGCCCTTATTGATACCGGAGCATCAGGATATGCTTTCATTGATGAATCTTTTGTACGCCACAACAATCTTACAATGACCCCCCTTAAAATACCTCGCCATGTAGACGTTATAGACGGAAGGCCTATCAAGTCAGGAAAAATTACCCATATTGTCGATGTCTCGTTAGACATTCATGGTCATCGGGAGACGGTGCCATGTTTTGTGACGAAGTTAGGACACTATCCGATTGTGATGGGGATACCTTGGATGCGACGTCATGATGTTACAATACGACCAAAGGAAAATCTACTTATTTTTGACTCTCGAGGCTGTTGTCAATACTGTTCACTCAGTGGAACTGCAGTTATTGTCCATGGTATTTCAATTCCTCTACCAGAACACCATACAGTCATTGTTTCAGCAACCGAAAAAACTACTGTCGACATTGAACAACTAGTACCAAAGGAATTTCACCATCGCCTCCATATGTTTAAAGAATACGATGCTTCAATTCTCCCACCACATCGACCATCCCATGACATCGAGATAGTATTAGAGGAAGGTAAACGACCACCATATGGACCTATATATGGATTATCTCAAATTGAGTTAAAAGCACTACGAGAATATCTTGATGAAAATTTACCCAAAGGATTTATTCGAGCCAGTGAATCACCAGCTGGAGCACCTATATTGTTCGTAAAGAAAAGCGATGGAACTCTTCGACTCTGCGTTGACTATCGAGGCCTAAATGCGATTACAATCAAAAATCGATATCCATTACCATTGTTGAAAGAAACCCTGGCTAAGTTGTCAAGAGCACAATACTATACTAAGTTGGATTTACGATGGGGATATAATCAAATTAGGATAGCGGAGGGAGATGAATGGAAAACAGCATTCCGGACTCGATATGGACATTTCGAATATACAGTAATGCCGTTTGGATTAGCTAATGCCCCTGCCACATTTCAGCATTGGATCAATGATATTCTACGTCCCTACCTCGATCAATTCGTAACAGCATACTTAGACGATATCCTTATCTATTCCGAGACCCTATCAGAACATAAAGAACATATTCAGAAGGTTCTAAAGGTACTTGATGAAAATCATGTTCACCTTAAACCTGAAAAATGTGAATTTATGGTTCAGGAAACAAAATATCTTGGTTTAATCCTTACTCCGAATGGGAATAGAATGGATCCAAAGAAAGTTATCGATGTTTTGGAATGGACTACACCGACAAACGTTCGTGATGTTCAAGTATTCCTAGGATTTGCAAATTTCTACCGACGGTTTATTTTGGGATATTCGAAAATTGTTGCCCCGCTTACAGCTTTGACAAAGAAAAACGTTAAATTTGAATGGACGGATGAAAGGGAGGAGGCATTTCAGACTTTGAAAAAGATGTTTACAACGGCACCGATACTAGCTCATTTCAATCCAGATCGGAAAATTGTGGTAGAAACCGATGCATCCGACTATGTTTCTGCTGGAATCCTGTCCCAACGTGACAACGAAGGAATCCTACATCCAGTCGCTTTCTTCTCAAAGAAGCATTCCCCTGCGGAATGCAACTATGAAATCTATGACAAAGAACTTCTGGCAATTGTACGATGTTTTGAGGAATGGCGACATCATTTGGAAGGGGCACAATTCCCAATCGAAGTCCTCAGCGATCATAGGAACCTCGAATATTTTATGTCAACAAAGCTATTAAACCGTCGACAAGCCCGTTGGTCGGAATTTCTTTCACGTTTTGATTTCGTTATACAATTTCGGCCAGGAAAACAAGGAACAAAACCAGATGCATTGACTAGGAGGTCAGGTGACCTACCTAAAGAGGGGGATGAACGGTTAACGCATCAGAGTCAAGTGATTCTGAAGCGAAAAAATTTGGATACCAAGCTAAGTTTGTTCGCGGGTTCTTTGTCAAATGAATCCGCTGAAGGAGCGTCCACTGTAGAAGAGTTATTTTCAAAAGCTTACCAAGTGGATAGTCTCCCAAACAAGGTCCTCAATATGCTTCGAAATGGGATACGCCACTCAAACAAAATCTCACTTGCCGAATGTATGGAAGATAACAACGGTCGGCTGCTTTATCGAGGCATGCTATATGTACCAGACGACAATGACCTTCGACTAAGGCTTTTAAAAGAATACCATGACAAACCATCTGCAGGACATCCGGGTAGAGCGAAGACTCTGGAGCTCCTAAGTCGAGAATATTACTGGCCACAGATGCGAAAGTTTGTCGATCAGTATGTTAGGAATTGCAATGTGTGCACCCGTAGCAAAGCATCACACAATGCACCTTATGGAGTACTTCGCCCCATGCCGATTCCCAATGGACCCTGGACAGATGTCTCGATGGATTTTGTGACTGATCTTCCTGAGAGTGATGGGTATAATGCGATTTTGGTCGTGGTGGATAGACTAACCAAAATGCGGCATCTGATACCAACGACAAAGGAGGCAAATTCAAGGGAAGTAGCGAGGCTATATATCGATAATGTTTGGAAGTTACACGGATTACCAGATACTATTGTATCCGATCGAGGAACACAGTTCGTTGCAGAATTCTGGAGATCGCTTTGTGATCGATTGGAAATATCACCAAAATTCTCTACCGCATTCCACCCTCAAACAGATGGACAAACGGAAAGAATTAATGCCGTAATGGAACAGTACCTCCGAAGCTATGTTTCCTATCAACAGGATGATTGGGCTCGAATGTTACCAATGGCTGAATTTGCAACAAACAATCATGCCTCCGAAACAACAAAGGTCTCCCCATTCTATGCCAATTCAGGAAGAAATCCAAGAATGACTTTTGGCCCTTTGGAACATGGTCGAACGACGGCGGAGGATCAAGCGAATCATATTGCAAGGGAAATGAAGGATGTAGTAGATTTCCTAAAAGAAGAGATGTTTCGAGCGCAAAGGATACAAGAAGAATCAGCCAATAGGAATCGGACTCCAGCTCCTCGATATCATTTAGGAGATAAGGTTTTCCTATCGACTCGTCATATTCTAACCAAACGACCTTCCAAGAAATTCGACTGGAAACGTATTGGACCGTACAACATTAAACGAATGGTCAATCCCTATACCTATGAATTAGAACTTCCTCGTTCGATTAAAATACATCCAGTATTCCACGTTTCGTTATTGTCGCCCGCAGCCAATGATCCCTTGCCCGGTCAGGAACAACTACCTCCACCTCCAGTTGAAATTGAAGGACAGGAAGAGTGGGAGGTTGAAGATATCTTGGATTCGAGGAAACGAAGAGGAAGATTTGAGTATTTGGTACGGTATATGGGATATGATGAAGCCTCCTGGCAACCACTATCGGACCTTGAGCATTCACCTGATATCGTTAAACGATTCCACGAACGTTATCCAGGAAAGCCTAAGCCTACCAGGAGGTAGGCCTTAGAGGGGGGCGTGGTCTGTAACGGCAGCTATGTATTTCGGCTAGGTGATGAATTGGGATGAAGGAAGGAGGTATCGTGCAGTGGAATTAGGATTTGTAATGGGGATTTCTGTTATGTTCTTTGGGTTTCTGTTACGCGAAGGTATTAGTCATCGTTGGATTATGGATGGATATATAAGGGGGTGTTGTCTCGTGCTTTTATCTGTTTTCCTTCTTCTCTTTCTTCCTTACGCAACCTCTGTATTTATCCCACGAATATTATTCTTTGTCCACACTACGTCATAGGGCTCCAACCGGTTTATCATACCAGGCAGAGCCACCCCATAGTCCATAGCCAAAGTATACCTTTACGTCTACGTCCACATCTACGTCACTTCCTAGGTTGTATTCCTTGGCACCACAGTCTATCGCCTACGGCCCCCGTGATAGAATTCCGAATTTGTTGAGTCTCCGCTTGATGGTGCTAACCGAGATATTGAGGCCAAATTGTTGACGAAGCTCCTTATAGGTGAGACTGCGATCCCACTGGGTAGATAGATACAGACGTCTATCATCACGCTCAGTTGTCTTCCTGAGCCTCCCTACATGTTGGGGTTAGACACTGCCGATGGAGTTGAACCTAGTCCAGGTGTTGTGAACAGTGCTTTTTGAAACGCCAAAAACTTTGGAAATATGTCGGACTGTGACACCACACTGTCTGGCGCCAATGATCATCTAACGGGTAGCCTCTGACAGTTCTCGCCTACTTGCATTGAGCTGTTTGGAGGAAGGATTGTGGGGAGGTGCCATGGTTGATGAATCACGGACGCCACGGTTGATGAGGAGCGGACGCGTTGTCCCATAATTTCTGAATAAGAACTATACAATTATAGCGAGTGATAATGAATTCTAGAAGAGTAGAGAGTGCGCGCACTTCCCTTCCTCTCCATATTCTACAGTTCGAGGTACAATGAAAGCGGGTGCAGGTGAACCTTCCTCCTCCTCCTCCTCCTCCTCTTCTTCGTCCTCTTCAACAGTGCCGGGTGCGGGTATATCCCCCATAGGTACATCGACTGCAATTTGATTCCGGAGTTCTTCTAACTTCCTTGTCTTTGTAATCTCGTCCTGCTCAAGCCTTACTAGAGAATGCCAATTTAAAGGAATGGTACAATTGTTCCTTTCCATCTATTGACGCCTTATTCTCTTTCTAATAAGAATATCTATATCCTTTTCCAATCTTCCTATTTGTTTTCTTAATCGTTCTAATTTTTTGTTTCTCTTCTCTTCTTCTGCCTCCCGCCTTTCTCTATCAAATTCATCTAACGTTTCTCTATCCAGAAACCCAATACCATGGTTAGGGATCTTTGTTTTTCGGGCTTTTTTTTTTTCTTTTTACAATCATCCAACTGTTTTTTTAAATTCTTTACTTCATCTTTTAAATATTCATTTTCAATGATTATTCTTTCTGCGGCGTTGAAACCTTTAACTGAGTAGTGCCTTATGCGCCAGGAGTAAGGTGAATTACTCGCAGTGGAATTTTCAATTGTTCTTCGCATATGAACAATTGATGATCGATTTGTAGGTGTACTAGTGACCGCAATTCTTTCGGGATTGATGGCTAGAAATTCGGCTCTGTTACGCGGCAGTGGAGTACTTGGTCTAGGTAGCAGTGTATGTTCATTATTATTGTTCGTCTGCCAATCCAGTTGTCTTAGAATTATCGAGGAATCTAAAGGGCAAAGTCCGGTCCACCAAAAGCTGCTTCGGATGTTTTCTGGTGTAAATGCCTCCCGCCGAGCAACCGAGATAATCTGATAGAAATTGTGTTTACCAACACCGCATTCCTTATTTGTAAACCGTAATTCTAACTCTCTTCTATAGTAACGTTTGTATGGTGAAAAGATACAAACATCAAGAGGTTGTAGCTTATGTGTTGTATGCGGGGGAAGGCAGAAGGGAATAACGCGGTTGTTGAGACAATATGTGAGGAAGGAGGTGTTGACGTGAGAAGTGTGTCCGTCAAACAGCAGTAACCGGAAGTCATCCTCTGCCTTTTCTGCTGTCTTGCTGTGTGGGCCGAAGTTTCTTTCCAGCCATTTCAAACTCATCGTCTCGTCTGTCCATCCATTTGAGGATCATCTAAAAAGTATATTTTCTGGTGTATCATATCTGAAATTGTCAAACCATTCCGATACGAACTCCTCACGCTTATAGATAATCATAGGATCTATGTCCGATCCATCTGCACATATTCCTTCTAGAACAGTAGATAGTTCTCGTGTTCCTTCTACTAGAGTATTAGCATCCGTCTCCATTCCGTGCTGAATCCGTTGCCCTACCCTCATTTTTGAATAATCTACCCTCAGTACGTGGATGTCTTACAACTTGAACTACCTTTTCAGAAGCGGAACACCCCATCAAAAACCCTATCTCATCAAAGTTATAGGTATTTTAGGCTTGATCTCCTTCGCATAGACACATTCTGCAAGCTATTCAACGATTAGATAGGTACTTCAACATCTTGAAGTGATTAAAAAACTAACCTCATTGAAGAATTTTCTCATTATTTCCTATCATTACCTCGTACTGTTCTAAGCCACCCAATGTATCGGCTATGAATATATTTCTTATGCGAATAGAATTCTGATCTTTCAAGTAGCGAGTTAATGGGGCCTTACGGCCCCCCTCCCCCTCCTCCCCCTAGGCTCGCCGTTTGGTTGGCTACAGTTCAATAGAGAGGCCTTATATAAGAAATACATGCCAAGGAGTGACATACGTATATATACTACCGGACAAAGCTCCCAGGCTCGCAACAATGAATCTGGCCCGCTGAATAATCATCATTCATAGCGAACTAAACTTAGATAGGCAACTTTGTACAATTTCACAGGCGACCCCTCTGTCTCCGACATTCGGGGCAATGGTCGAGTGGCGAATATTCATGAGATTCTGGAGCTTCTATCATCAGTGGTAAACCGGAATAAGCACTGAATCTTCGTTAGCCTGATATCGTGAATCATGTGGCCGGATCTGCATACACGGACAAATTGATCTTGAGAGGCCGGGGTTTCCATTCATCCTTTCTTTTGTCCCCTGGATCTGAGACGATGCGTGAGGGTGGCCTAAAGTGTGTTGATATTCTAGCAACTTGACATCTAGATTCTCGAATTATCGATGGCTGAGTAAAGGAGCAGCTCTCGCCCACGCCGCAGTGATAAAGCTTGTTTCGCAAAACGCTTCGTATCGCTTCCTCTGATTCTTGATGGTCTGGCGTGGGAGGTTCTTGTGGTCCTCTGTAGCAGAGCCTATTCCTGACCGTTCAGAAGACCCCAAATTTGGTATTTTATTCTATGTTAGATTTTGCGCTACGCTTTGGTGAATATTGGGACGGTTAAAGGGATTTAAACATGGATAACATACGACAGTCTGCTTTTTCCTCTATTTCGATTTCTTTAGCACCGTTTTCTATCCAGATCGACGTAAGTATGATTCCGTACGGGAAGGTAAGCAATCCGGGATGGGATATCGGCTTTCAAGGTAGCAACAGATTCGGCGCATTGAGTTCCGGGGTATATGTCAAGTTATGACACCTCTCGGCCTAAGTTGAGAAGGAGATAGAGGCTAGCGTAGTTTTTCAACTGAGCCCCGGAAATGCTTGACCCCGCGCAGGGAATTCCTCCCGTTTAAATCCTCTGGCACAAAGCTGTAGAAGCCATCTAGGTATGTAGGTTATTGATTACAGTCAAGGGCAATGATGACTGGCACGGTTATAAATCGCTGCGAGTTTCACCGCTTGTATACTGATGCGACATTGTCTGGCGGTGGTTGTTGGGCAGTGCGAGGTAAGAGGACAACTTGATTGAACAGAGATGGGGTGGGGTTCGAGAGCCATGTAGGTCACACGGGTCATATTTTTTCGATGTCAAGTCAGATAGCTAGTCCAATTGGCTAAGGTGGTCAATAGGTGATTGAAATTAGATATACAATACAGGAAACAGGCACTGGTATTGATTGGTTTCTCGACGCTGATTTACCAACTACAGGTAGACACGGTATAATTAAACAATGCCTTTGGTATAAATAACCTTGGGAATGGTATTCACGGTGCCTGGTTAAAACTCCTTGTTGCCGTGGCCACTGCATTAATACATGTATATCCAGTGGTAGTGCGGTCCGCGTTAATTCGGCAGCGTTGTTTGCATGAATAGAAAAGAGATGGCCTGTTTCATTGACTTGTTGAAAATGTATATTGTGTAACAAGAAAAGAAAAACATGCTCCAACGCCAAATCCCAGTCCAATGTCCAAAACCACTCTTCACACCTCCATCGCCCGTCCCTGCCCAAACACGAAGATCCCACAATTCCATCCGTACCGGTACTACGATTCCCAAGACTACACCATCAATCAGCACCAACCCCACCACAAGACAAGCAGAACAACTCACCCCAACAAACTGATCCGAAAATGTAGCCGCTATCGAGCGTGGAAAACGAACGCGTATCGCCGTGGAATCACCTACACATGTCAGTAATACGCACACCCCGACCAGGTTGGCAAGCTGCCTTAAGCCCCCACGCGCAGCCCCGGGCAAGCTGCCCAGCTTTACGCGGAGGCCACTGGTCAGGGGTGGCAGTTATCCGCGGACCGTAGCTCGCGTGATTGTTGCTGTCGGGATATTGCCGAAAGAAAGGAAGTTGTAGCCCCCAGACCGACAACACAAGCCCACACCCTTACACACCCCGTCCCCCATTGACCGGGTTGGCAAGCTGCCTTAAGCCTCCGCGCGCGGCCCCGGGCAAACTGCCCAGCCTTGCGCGTTGGCCACCGGTCGGGGGCAGAGGGGAGCGATGGGAGTGAGGGCGAGATGTATGCATGCCTGGTGCTGATGTCGTGGGGCGTTGAGGGTGTTTGGCGATGGATGATGGTGGTGGTGATGGTGGTGGTGATGATGGTGGTGAGGTTGGTGGTGAGGTTGGTAGTGGCGATGGTGTTGAGTTCAGGGATGAGAGATGAAAGAGGTAGCCTTGGCGAGCGGGGGTTGTGGCGTGTGGATGAGTAAGCAGCACCAGTGTCTTGGCTGCTGCCCTTAAGGCTTAAGCGGGGGGAATCAGGGGATGGCTTGACTTGAGCCGCACATCACATTCTCTTTGAGCGGTAGCCTCCTTGGCGCTCTGCTCCTTGAAAACATCGCTTTCTCTCGCACACCCCTTTGGACTCGGGGCGGGCTTTAATGCCATCATGGCCTGTCACTCGGTCGCGCGACTCTGCCGGATTTTTCACAGGTACCGCGGATGGCAGCAGTCCATGTCCATGGATCTACATACATACACAATCGAGACGCGCTCATGGGTGCAGGGGAAGCAATATGTAGTCTGTACTATACGTACAGGCCGATGTGTATGGTTGGCATATATAGCTGTTAGCTGTGCGCGGTGCCGGTGGGCAATTGTATGGACACGAGGATGAATTTCTGTGAGATATCCGAGTGTTTTTTGGGTAACAGGCGCAGTGCATACATAGGGAGGTAGATGCAGTAGCCTGTGGAAAGGATCAGGCTGAATCTCGTCGCGACGTCCTGGTGCCTGGATCTACATGTAGTCAACCACCGCGTATGCGCGTCCCTCGATCTTCACCCGGCCGCACTATCACCCCCCCCCCCCCCCCCCCCCCCCAAACCACCACATGTAGTTACTCTACTACTACATGCACACACACACGCAATGCAGCCCTTCTTCATCCCCACAACCTACTTCAACTCGCACCCCGACACCTGGTCCCTGAGGGGCTTCTTCGCCGCATCGACAACACCCCCCGCAGAGCTGGAGGGCCTCCGCCTCCAGCACGTGGTCGACGTCTATGTCCGTACGCTCTCTGAAATTGCCTCAGGGAGTCTCGATGGCCAGGCTGGAGGCGCGGCTGCGGAGGCCGCCGAAAGGAGGAGGGAGTGCGCATCTTTGCTGCTCACGGCTTATAAACAGGTGTGTTTTGGGGCAGCAGTCAGTACCTCAGCATGGCTTGTACTGATGGTGGACGACGGGTGTGGTGTCTAGGGGACCGACCATGCTCTTGCGCGAGCTCTATGGGCGGACTACACGGCCACCACCACCACCGGTGGTGCAGCCGCAAGCGAGACAGCGGGAGAGAAGCAGAAGAGGAAGAAGCCAAAGAAGACAGCCAAGAAGCGTCCTGCGCGCGACCTACCAGAACCACCCCCGCCGCTACCGCCCTCGTATGCAGAAGCTGCCGAGTCCTCCGCCGATGACATCGAGGTACTGCCTGAGGTCTCTTCGAAGCGGCGGAGGGTAGCCTCCAAGTCGTAGTGGGTACCGCGACCCCGTACTCCAGCTGCGCAATGCTAATGTTGCTTTTGTGATCCTAGCCTGGCCGAGTTCGAGTCTTTTTATGCAGCCATGGATCCGTTGCGGAAATGGACATTGACAACCGGCAAGGTGGTCGAAGACGCCATCTACGATGCCATTACTACCGCCGCGGTGGAGAGTGAATGGATGAAGATGTGGATCATTGATGCCTCTGACCCGGCGATGTCTGTAGTATTCTCGAAAGAGGAGATCATTGAGCTGCTGGAAGGGCGGACAGACAGGGCGGATGGCGTAGGAGACGTGTGGGATCGCTACAGCGCCGTATGCTACCCTTTATTCCCCTAGGACTAGCCGGACTACGCTGACGCTGACGCCGGGATGACTAGATTACCACAACCAAGGAATTACGGAATACACTGTTTGGGGAGCTCCCAAGGCAGGGCGTAAAAGAGGAGTGGGTTTACGGCGTGATGCGGCAGCTGTATGTATCTCCCCCGCGGGTAGGAGGTAGCTATTAACAGCGGCGATATTCGCGGGTCCAGGCTAGCGCTCTACGAAAACACATCAGCGCCGCTCAAGAGCGCACAGCTCGAGAGCTGGTACGAGATCAATCTTTGGGGGCCGCTGATCGACGCTCTGTTGCTGCGGGCAGTGCCAGACGTGGTCGTGCTGCGGAAAGAGTCGACCTCCCACGCAGCAACAGTGTCTCTGAATGCGGCGCGCACTACTACCGGCCCGGGGAGTTATGTGAGGACAGGGGCCCGTAGCGATTTGGTGATCCGTGGGGTGGGTGTGGATTGGCCGCTGGAGTATGGTGCGGGCGAGACAGGAGGGAGATTTGCCGGCATAGGGGCGACCAAGTATATCGTCGATGGAATGAAGTTGAGGGCCACTATGAGAGGGATGTTGAGCAGGTTGGTGGACGAGGGGAAGGCGGGGAATGAGGTGGCGGTGGTCGGGGTCCTGTGTTCAGGTGAGTGAATAGAGGTTGTATCTGAGGTTAAAATTAATGAAGGGGGTGATAGGACTGCGGCTCACGCTGCTGGAGATGTGGGCGCCTGTGGGGAGGTATATGGGAGTAGTGAGGACGGTAGGCCCAGTGGGGGTGCCGGATGATGTGAGGAAGTTACCGAGAATTGGGGCGCTGCTGGCGGCGCTATGGGTTATGAAGGTAAGTTTTTCCCATGTGGAGGATTGGGAGAAAGACGAGCACTGACGAGTGTTCCGGGAAGGAAACTGTTGAGGGATGTGTTAAGATTATGGATGAGTGTTAATCAGAATCCGGGGGAGGGGGTGGTTAGTTCTGATCATATTCTTGGTTTTTGCGAAATACAATAGGTAATAGAAAGGGTTATGACTGTGTCGGATCTTGTACATTATGTTGGTGTATATATCAAAACATTCGGGGCATGCTGCGGACTTGCACAGGTAATATGAACATAATCTGCTCCAGACACTGAATCTCAGCGGGGTAGACAGAACATTGAAATAATGAGCTACCGGCTGATGGGAATGTATTTTACTAATACGTGGGGAGGTAGATCCTGTTATAGGATAATATTAGGGCCCGTTTGGCTGTTCTGGAGGTATCGAAACTTTGTTTAGTAGCTGCTCCGTTAGGCGAGGGTAAACAGAGCTTTTTCAAAACAGAGCATTTTCAAACGGGGTTTGGGTTTATTTGACCTGATTATGTATTAACATCGACTTTTAATGGGGTTTAGGTTGCGATAGCTACAACAGCGAAACGGAGCTAATCAAAAGTAAGTACCCCCTACTTTTCAAAAGCTCCGTTTCAACACCCTAACTGAGTTACAAAATTGGCTGTCAGAAAACAAACTTTTCCGAAAAAACGGAGTTCCGCAGAAAATGAAACGGAGTTATGTGGTTGCAATACATGTATATATCTATCTCCTACAACTCCGTTTCAGCAGGTGGCCAAACGGGCCCTTGGTGAGCGAACCTTGGGAACAAGTACTATAGGGTGGTATAATGAGTTATGGCGGATGATTCTAGTACGTGCGGGCCACTGACAAATGCATGTAGTGGGCACCATGATTTTCATCATTGGAAAGAAGCGATTTACTGATTCGATTTGGATTTGATTTAAAAGATGCAATCAAATCTGGTTGTGATTGTACCCGATACATAAAATATTGTTTTCAATCGACTTCAGTCATACACCAATATATTTGTCTTTCCATGCTACTTGTGGTGTGCGAAGATCACCTCAGGAAGCATCAAAACCTCAAGTTAGCAAAAAGAAAAAATCTACCTTTAGAAGAATTTTGAGCACACGATTTCTATTGCGGTTTAAATCAATTTCTTACAACTAATAAACCAAATCAAACTTTCATTGAGGTCAAATCGAATCAAATCAAATCGTGACAAACACGCATAGAACCCACGATAAATATTGTAAGGTGTCGAAGGTGATTATTATGCCTATAGTACCGACAACGTGCACCTCTGACCGGGCGGGTATATAGATGGACGCTTTGCCCTTCGATCGGAACACTAGTGAAACAGCTATAAACCAAACCTAAAAAGATTGGCCACTTATATAACTTCTAGCTCTTGGACCAGTTTTCTTCATCACACATCAACCAACCGACACCCGTGCCAATGAGGACGGTACTCCTGCGGAGGAGGAAGAATTGAAGGCTTCTATCGTTCTTGTTTAGACTATTACGCAAAGGTTGTTTGGCCAAGCTTTATGTGTGTGTACTCGTAGTTGTTTTACGTTTCAGGATTGGATTGGGTCCATATCTTGGTGGTACATACATGTATGTAGACCAAGTGGATCCAGCCCGAAAACGTTAAAAGATTACGAGTACAATGTATATGTGTGTGGGGAGAGGGATGAAGCCCAATTACGCCGTGGTCCATTTTACTAAAGCCTGGAAATATATAGATTTCGGTAGAATCTGTACGTACGTATGTAGGTACTCTACTTATTCTATTAATATGTGTTATCCAGCGACTGGCACAATTGAAATGTAGTTCTATCTATGCATGCGCAGCTCCGCATACGTACAAGTATGCTGCAGCAAGTCTTGGAGTCATACTTGTACCTACATAATAAAGTAGAGTACCAAAACTGCGCATTTCCTGAAATGTTAGTCTAGTATACAGCTGGGCGCTCTATTAATCCAATCGCGTTCCAGTATCACATTTATGTGCCTACATACCTTTGTGCATAAGTAACAAAATGATGCATCTGGCAACCCCCCTCGGCAGAGGGAACACGATGCACACCCCGCCCAAGTATGCGGAGGTAGAGACCGAGAGAACCATTATATATTACAGCAAGAGCCGAAGCCTTAATTCCCACGTACTATTCCAAAATCAAGCTCCCCGTCATCTTCATACAACGAAAAGATATGGCGTCGAAGGTTTTTCGCATCTCGGGGCTCCCGCCCCAAACTGACACCAATACGTTACGGGAGGCTCTTGGGTTGAAACAAGAGGATATTATCAATATAAAAGCCATCTCTCCATGTTGTTCTGATCCTGCCACAAAAGTCGCTATTGTGGAATTCGGACAAGGCCCGCCATCCTACTTGAAGGATATGATTGAGGGTCACAAATCCGATCACCAGGTTGAGATGGCTGGGTGTGACGACTTGAACATCGATATGAACTTTTACGGACTTGCTCAACTATACGCTACGCCGCATAAAGCAGACATCTCTGCAGAGTAGGATACTACTGAACTACCTGGCTTGATTCACTCGTATGAAATGATACAAAAACTAACCTTATGTCTAGTATTGTAGCAGTGACAAGTATTGCCGGCCATGCGTTCGGATCGTGGCGAGGGAGGGGGAATTTACGCAGAATGTGGCTGCAAGACTTCCTTCAAAAAGACTTACCGAACTGTCGAACCATGATCTTTGGTTACAACTCAAAGCTGGATAGTCCTGGTATTCACCAGATCGAGGATTACAGAGACAATCTTTTGACGGAGCTAAAGAAGGCTAGAGTATCAGGCGAAGTAAGTATCAAGGCTTCTCATTGGCTTGGTAGAACAGAGAAAAAGAAGGGTCATGTCTACATTTATTCCATGTCTGTTCAGAAAGGGATACGGGTTTCAGGTCAGGCCAATTTCGCGATTTTATCTCTTTAATTGGAGATTAATTCACTGTGGCGAGGGCTTCATAACCAAGCTACTCCTTTCACTGTTCTAGATCTCGAATACCCTAATTCACATCGCCAGCTGTTATTCCTTTTTAAGCTCGCCGTATACGTACCAGCTCGAAGAACAGGCGGCTAATCTTTGATACTATAGGAGCAGAGTAGACCTATCATATTCATTGGACATAGTTTCGGGGGGATCATTATTACACAAGTATGTCCCTTTATGGGAGAATAAATAAATGACAAATCCCAAGAGATAGATTATCCGTTCAGACGCATACTAACATTTCAAGGCTCTGGTAAAAAGTCGGGACACGAAACCATCTTCCGACCCGGATATTAATGCAATACACAAAGCAACCTACGCCACACTCTTCTTCGGCACCCCACATCGTGGTTTCAACGTGGAAAGTCTCACAAAAATGGTTGATAAAAGAAAACCGGAAGACTTGGCCTTTTGAACTCAATCCAAACTGACTCCCCGCTGTTTGAAAAAGGGTTAAGGAGTTTCTTACTTTTGCGGATCAGCTGAAAATAGTAAGCTTCTATGAAACGATAAAATCACAAACTCCGGAAAAGGTATAGTTTCAGTGTGAAGTTGGTTTTTCGATCGTGCTGAAGGCTCATCAATCTTTAGGTTAATAAAGGATTTGAAAGAATAGGCGGATACCAACTTTCAGTTTCTAAAACATCCGCCCTGCTTAACCCCCCAGAGGGTGAAATAACAGTGTGTGTGAACGAAGACCACACCCACCTCGTCAAGTTTGACAGCAAGCAGCGTTCGGCTTACAGCGACACTATCTTGAATCTCAAACGGTTTGAGAGGGCTCCTCCGGGTTTACCAGCTGCCTCCGCTTCCCTGATCCCCACGATGCCACCTATCATCCCCGTGCCGCACATTCTCCCAGCATCACCAACTGTCCCAGGATCCCCAGGCATAAATAACCAGGTTTTGCAATCGACTTCCATTTCAGTCTTGAGTTGCTGAATCATGGGTCTCATTGAAAAACCCGCTCCTTGTCTAGTGAAAGTTGTTTTACTAACTAGTTTTCAGACCCCATTCCGCGATGCTTACCCCGAATTGCAGAGCCTGCAACCCCCCTTGAAGAGCCGCCGCTATTATACACGGATACCGAAGGGAAAACTTGGTGAAAGTCCCTGCCTAAAAAATTTCCCCTCCTCAGAAAGTCGAAGGCGAGCGGTAGCGCTGCTAATGTTGATCGAGAGGCCGAGAGGAAAAGACAACAAGCAGTATCTATTATTAAAAGTGGTAGTATGGGTAGGATACCTGATCAAGGCAAGTCTTCATTTTCACCCGAGGATGAAGAGAATGGGGAAAAATTTGAATAGCGATGGCGTAACGCATTCGAAATTTCGGTATTATCCATATTGTTAGTAGCTTAGGTGTTTCATTTGAATATTAGTTAGTGTAGACGCCTACTTGGTTTGGGAGGCTAGGGCCTACAATTGGTAAGGGTTTGCATTGTGAAATTGATTCCGTGTATATATAGTCCATGACCTGGTTTCTAGAAATGACATGAAACACCGGGAACCCTCCCCTTGTCGTGTGCTAAGAAAACCCTATCATTCCTATTCACTACCTACACGACTTGGTGAAAGATCGCAATAGCCACCGTACAGCAGCTACTGCATATGGGAAAGGACATAGTAGCCACCGTATGGCAGCTGTTCCTTGAAGAAAACATCGTAGGGGTCGCCGTACGGCACCTGCGGGGTCAGGCGGGGCATCGCAGTAGCCATCATACGGCAGCTACTACTATAAAAACGTCGTAGAAATCGCCGTACGGCACCTATGGGGCTAGGCGGAATATTGCAGTAGCCACCGTATGGCAGCTGTTCCTTGAAGAAAAGGTTATAGGAGTCGCTGTATGGCACCTGCAGGGCATGGTGGAACATCCCAGCAGCCATTGTATAGCAGCTACTATACGTAGGGAAAAGTCACGGTAGACACCGTACTTTCATGGATCGATTAGTGAATACACTAGGATACGAGGAGTTGGATTAGTCAGGGGGTTCTATTGAGTTCTACCGGATTCTGTTGGTTGTTAATGTATGAGTCACTTCGGATTTGTCATCGCTGGGATTTCCTTGGGTATATTGGGGGGGTTCGTTTGTTCTTCTTGTTCTTTTTCTTTCCTTCCTTTCTTTACGCAACGTCTTCTGTACCTAAGCTGTCTATTACTATACAATATTACTCTCCTCTTCTTTACTCTAGGAGACTACCACTTCGCTGCCCCTTGCCCAGTTGACCCTCACCGATACTAGAATTCCTCAGGACTCCTATTGCGAGATTCCACAACAACCACTACTACCCCCTTCGTACCCTGCAGAATACTCACTACTCGCCCCCTTGAGATGTACGGTAGCTGCTCCATTGAATAAATATCGTAGGAGTCACCGTACAGTAGCTATTCCTTGAAGAAAATGTCACACGAATCACCATACGGCGCCCTCGGGACCTGGCGGAATTACACCGTAGTAGCTACCTCACGGAATCTAGTGATACAGGAGGGGTAGTTAGGAGCCATCGTACGGCACCTCCACCTATTGGTGCAAACCACAGAGTAATGACCGTACGTCAGCTCCTGATGATACAGTAGTGAGTACAAGGCATCTGGTACTACCTAGTAAATGGGGTTGTACCCACTGTACGTTGAGTGCTCATCCGAGGTAAACGATGCACAGAGTACCGTATGGGAGCTTCCAATGTTCTTTCCCTTTTTTGGTCCGGTAGTATAGTGTAGTAATACTCGACAGGGGGATTGGTACGTATCATCGCGAGTCAAGTAGATAATGCCAATTTCATGGATTGACTAGTGAATATAGTGGGTTACGAGGAGTTGGATTAGTCAGAAGGGTTGTATTGGGTTCTACCGGATTCTGTTGATTGTTAGTGTATGAGTCACTTCGGATTTATCATTGCTGGGATTTCATTCGGGTATATTAAGAGGGGTTCGTTCTTATGTCTTATGCTTTTTCTTTTCTTTCTTTCTTTACGCAACGTCTTCTGTACCTACGCTGTCTATACAATATTATCTTCCTCTTCTTTAATCGAGAAGACCACCGCTTTGCTGCCCCTTGCCCCTTGCCACGTTGACCCTTACCGACGCTATAGTCCCTTAGGAACCCCATCGTGAGTTCCGACACCGACCTCTATTACCCCTTTCGTACCCTGCGGAATACTGGCTACTCGCGCCCTTGAGATTACGTTGCGTCGTCAGCCGCACCGTACGAAATGTCCACTCCCGACCCACCTACATTGGCCCTACCCAACGATGTAGAGGAATTTAAACGGCAGTATGAGGTCGACGCTGCTACCTTATTTAACCACATCGCCGTCCTTGTTCAACATATCTGCCTCGAGAGGAATACCACTTGTACACAACTCGACACCGCCAATGAAACCATCGACAACCTTGATGAGCAGGTAACCCGACTCAACCTCGACCTCAATGTCGCTCACGCTGCCCCCGCTCCCGGCGTCTCTGTCCCCGTTGCTGCTGCTCCCCCACCTACTATCTCTAGTAGTGGAATGTCGGACAGGATTTTGAGGTTGCCCGGGAACTGTCGCCCCACAATTCCGGGCGCCGTGGCTATGGGTCGAACAGGACGACCCGAGTCCATTCCCATCATCAGGTATGTGCGTACAGGGGGTCGTGGTTGTGATTGCGGAGGCGGAGGTGATGGTTGGGGGCGGTTGAGTAGGGTAACTCACGGTGAGTCTTGTCAACCAGTCCTTGTTTACTCCCGGTACCGCTACTAACCGGGCAGGTACAACGGTCGATGACTGCATGACACTGAATGCACCGTCTCGAGCCCACGATCATGACGGCATATGAAATTCAATGATGCCGGGTTTCCCCATCCTCTGCTTTGATGGAAGACATATATTTCGGATTCTGAATTCCAGATTACCGCATTGGGTGAATCCCACTATTTGTCTCCACTGTGTCTTCTTACGCTTTCGGATTCTGTACCCCAGGTCACCGCTTTACTAAGTTTCAACGCTCGTCACCCTAACTACCCACAACTAGGTTTCAACCACCACCAAATTCACATTGATATATTTCAGATTACCGAAGATTGTATTATGAACACGTGACCAAACCAACTTTCAACGCTCGTAACCCTAACTACCCACAACCAGGTTTCAACTACCACCAAATACACACTGATCTGTTACATTTTGACTAAAAATTGAATTTTGTACCAATAGAATAACAACGACCTGAAGAAAAACACATAGAAAAGTGTCACTTCAGTATTCTGTCCTACATTCTAATTCCGATACGTAACCATGAAGGTTGCAATTACCAGTCTTTGGGCTGTATCGTATTATTGTTCTAGACACTACTGAGCAATATTGAATCACTGGATAGATATGCATGTCTACTAGGACAGCATGTAAAGCAAACACTAATGGTGAAATTGGTTACTACTGTTTGTGATAGCTTGAGAGGTATAAATATCAATCGAAACAGAAAGTGCATCAGAGTTTGCAATTGAGATTTGTTGGTATGGTTTGATATGATTCGATTTGTATGCACACTTGTTGTGACAGAATGTAAATCAGGAATACTAAATAAGATTTGTGAGAATTTTTGGCAATCGCTTGATACGTATGCATACAAATCGGAATGGCAAGTAAAGTGTATACCGATAAGAAAAGCTTTCTGTATGATGGTTGAATACTAAATAGGAGTCGATACCTGTCAGGAAAATATTCGAATCAGTAATTAGCAGTGAACTTGGTTGATATCATTAATAATTGGTTCATACTTACTAGAGGTGCACCACCTCGCGACCGCGAGGTCCCCTTCTCTCCCACCTATGTGTAGTATCTAGGCACCTCCAGTAATTAGTTAATTTTGTCTTTGCCGTCTCATGTTCTGTTTTCCCGGCCATGTCACATAAATGCCTAAATATTGCTCTGGATATCTATTTCCGATTTTCAATGCCAAGTCCAGTGCCAGCTCTAATGCCCGCTCCGGTGCGAGCTAAAATCAAGGTCAGTCCCAGTGTCAGCTTCGGTGTCGGCTCAAATATATGCCAGCTCTAGCTGGAGCCGCCCGAATGCCATCTCTAATGCCCACTCCAGTGCCAGCTCCATTAGATACCGGCTCCAGTGCCAGCTCAGATACATGCCAGCTCCAGTGTCCGCTTCTCTGCAAGCTCCAGTGCCCGCTTCTCTGCAAGCTCCAGTGCCCGCTTCGCTTCCAGCTCCAGTACCAGCTCTGATGCCCGCTCCGGTGGGATCTCCGGTACCCGCTTCAGTACTCGCTCCGGTACCAGCTCCGGTGCCAGCTCTAACCCTCACTCCTGTGCCCGCTCTTGTGCCCACCCCTGTTCCGGCTCATATTCCTGCTCGTCTTCCCACTCTTGTGTCCGCTCCGGTGACCGCTCGAGTGACTACTCTGGCATTCGCCTCGATGCCAGGTCCTGTGCCAGCTCCAATGCCAGCTCCAGTGCCAGCTCTGATATATTCCAGCTCCCTTCACCGTTCCTCCACCACACTGGCACCTCCTTTTCCCCTCTTACTGGTCTTCCCTCTCCCTATTCGCACTCCCCGCCAACTACTGTTCGTCTCTCTCGCCTATTCTGCTCATATTTGACTACTAAATAGCTATATTTATTATTTAATCATAAAGAGTTCCGTTGGTTGGGCTGGTCTCATAGGTAAAGTCAGGGTTAGGGTTTGGGCTTGGCAGGAAAATAGGGAGGGTAACGGCTCAGAGCAGGCAGGGCAACCGCACTAATCGGGTTGGGTAAACTCTCAAAATAGGCAGGGTAACAGAACAAAATCGGGCAGGGTAACTGCACCAAACACACGAATTCGATGTGTCGTGCTTACAAAACACCCCTGTCACTGTCAACCAATCAGATTGTAGCAATCTCAGAAGAATTATATTCCAGTACATATTAGATACATTCTTATCAGAACAGCAAATTTAACAGTTATTGATAAACAAAACCTTTTGTATTATTTACAATCCTTTGATGGGTATGTATCAGGACAGCGAGTGTATCAGAAATTCAAATTCTCATTTGTTACAATTGTTCATGAAGGTTTGAAAGCTATGAATATTTATTGGCACAGTAAAATACTGAAATTGATACTCAATATATTTGATGGCTTGATTGGTATACCATGTTCTGGATGAATATTGAATAGATTTAATACTGCACTACGGTTTGCAAAATATCTTCTCCCAAAACACGAGGTTGCGGCTTTCCAATCCATTCGGAAATATATACAATCTATGCTCATATTCTGAACTTGAGAGTGAACAATATTCAGCACTTATCTCTAAAACTCATTGTTTTAATTGATAACAGTCTTTATAACATGTATCCTGATATTTTGTATTTTGTAAAAGGGTAGGAATTTGACGATGTCCGCAAGATAACATCTGTTCTACCTCACCTACCTATTAACAGTATGCGCTCAAATTCCCCCAAGCCTTTAGAATTAGGATTATGAATGCTTTTGATTCAGAATGTCATATTTGAGCTGACTGGCGATCAGTATAGCACTCAATTGCTTGAACGTTCTCAGTGTAACCCAATTCAGATCCTAAAACCTTGTCCGATTTCATAGATCGATTGAATAATATAGTAGGTTACAAAGGGTCGAATTGATCAGAAAACTTCTATGGATTTCTAGAAGTTTCCGTCGATTTTAAGGGTATGAGTCACTTGAGATTTGTGATTGCTAAGCTTTCTTTATGTATATTAAGGGGCTTTGCCCTCGATTCTATTCTTTTTCCCTCTCTTTTCTTCTCTTTCTCTTGGTACGCAAAGGCTTAGGTAATCTACGCTGGCTATTGCTATTCAAGTACTATTTTCTCTTCCTTTATGAGGAGACCATGTCACTTGTCCGACCTTAACACCGCTAGACCTAAACTACT